GGCATTGGATTCCGGGTACAAGAAATTGAAACCTTTTGTGTTGGGATTTGGAAGACGATCGAAAGTGAAGACCTTGTGGATTAATTCGGATTGCAGAGTGCAGGTGATCTCGGCGTCTTCAATTTGCTGGATTACGTGGATCCAGGCGTCCTGGGTACAGAGGAAGAATCCGACTTTGGATAGGTCTAGGGTGGAGGGATCGGAATTGGGGCCTGCGAGGGTGAGTTGGGTAACGTTGAGCTCAAGCTGGCCTCGGTGGGTGAAGCCGAACTCGTCGAAGGGGATAATCGGCCGACCATCGGATCGGATCTCGGAGTAACGGATCTCACAGACTGCAGCTGAAGTGATACAGAGAAGAATCAAGAAGAGGAGAGGAAAAGAGGATGACATTATTCGACTAGGGTTTATCAATTCACCGTCGAACCAATTTGATTCAGGGGAAAATACTGAGAATAAAGAGGTTATCAGTTTATTATTATTATGCTTCTTGTTATAGGAAGCTGCCAGGAAATTGCGACTTTTCCAACACATCTTACCTTCATTTTTAAAAGGATAAATCAAAACCGACAAAGCCTACGATGCCAAGAAAATGCGACTTTTCCAACACATCTACCTTAATTTTTCCAAGGATAAATCTAAACTGCGTAGGCCTTGTCCGTCCATGTGCCGCCCGGAGTCTGTAGGCAGGCCTACGTTGTCCTGTCCGTCTAGCAGTTTTCTTTTTCAAAAGCCCTCATTTGACAATAAGCCCCGATTTAAACTACATTATTGTAAAAATAAAAATAAAAAAATAATTATTATGGATCATATACAAGAGATAAAAAATCAAATATAATTACTTGATGTAATGAATAATAGTCATATTTTTCATTTTAATGAGAAAATAATGAGGCTCAAACAGGGCCTAATTATTTACAAAAAAGTAGAATTTTGAATAGTGATATGTGGATAAAAATAGAATTTTTTTTTAAATTTATGTGTAAAATATTTTATTGTATAAATGTATGGTTGGAAACAAACATATTAAAAAAAGAGTTTAAAAATAATAGTTGTCAAACATGGGTTAGGTTAGAGCTCAACCCCAACTTTCCGGTGCACATACTCAATTTATTTAAATATGTTAATTTAAATTTTTATATGCAGAATCGTCAGTTTAGACATTACACATGACTTTCAATTGAATGAGAGATAGATAAAGTGGTTAGAAGATTTTTTATTTTTTTGGCTGTGAATCATGTGAAATATTTTCTATGTATAATGGTTTTTGTCACGTTGGTATCTAAATTCACATATTTAAAGAAGTTGAAAAATCTAAATCTCATTTTTGATGGTTGATATCCAACTTGGGGAGTCTAGCCCTAATTTACTTTAATTTTTAATTTTGTGAAATTAGGGCAAGACTCATAATCTTGTTATTAGCGTGATTTTAGATCTTCACGTTTCAAAGGTTTGAACCACATTTTCTTTAAAAAAAATTTTGTAATGGTGACTTTTCGAAGTCTAGTTAAAAAATAGAAAAGTTTCGAATTCATGTGCAATTTTATTTTTTAAGGGGAGAGTATGTGTGGTTAAAAATGAATTTGAAAAAAAAAAAGAACGTTTAGAGAATGAAGTTCAAACAAATACTTATTTAACTTAAAGTTGGAGGTAAAAATGTCAACACTTGTAAGTGACGTGTGATATCTATTTGTATATTGAAGGCTTCATGTTAACTTCTTATTTGGTGAGGATTAAAATCAGATTTTTAATAAATTTTGATAAAAGTTGATGAAATGTATAGTTAAAAAGTTCCATAAAATATATGATTAAAAATAATTGTTAGTTTTAGTTTAAATTAAAATTTTAATTTTAAATCATACCAAACAAGGGTAAATATTTTTAAAAAAACTTAGGACTCGAATCATGCCACTTGGTTGGTGAGCAAAAAGGTAATTTTCCTTTTAATTTTTAATTTTATTTTTCTTATCAACGGGATAATGAATATGACTTTTTATCTTATATATATATTTCGTCACCAAACATGTCTGACAAATTTTTATTCATAATATGAACTGAGTCAATTTACGAGAACCTTCCCATTCGCGCGTTGGCTTTTGAATTTTCGTCATTCTTCCACTTGGATTTGTTTTACAATTACAAGGAAGAAAGTAGATAATTTCTATCAAGTTGTTGAGAATTGACCCCGTAACAAACGGTTCAGATTTAAAGGGAAAATTGCAGCAGAGTTCTGAACTTTTTAAGAAAGAGTAAATGGATCATGCGAACATTTTTTTTTTTTTACACTGTCATTTCAAGCGCAAGGACTTTTGGTTGGAATTTGTCTAAGAATCTGTTAATTAGATGCCTAAATTGAACTTGTCCACTTTTTAGGAGGACAGAATTGTCTATCCATAGTCAATTAAGAGGAGAGAGAAAAAATCAAAAGGAGGAGGAAAAAAAGAATCAAGAAGTAAATAAAAATATCATTTACCTCACACCCCTGCTCAAAAAATTGTGCCACGACATCCTTGCCTATCATCATTGCTGCCACCACTCAACCCACGCCCATCTCGTTTTGTCACCATCACATCTGGGGTCATTTCTCTCCCTTGTGACCCTAATGTCTATAAACGGGACAAATGCCCCGCCTCGCCTTAAACGGGTAATGGGGCAAGTATGGGTGAGAGAAAATGCTTGGCAGGATAGGGGGCAGGGCAACTGTCCAGCCTCTTTGCCATCCCTACTTGCGATCCTAATTTGAGTATGAAACAGATCTCACTTTAAAGTGGAAAAATGTAGAGCGTTGCCCTAAAAAGTGGTAAGTTCAATCTACACACTTAATTAACGTATTTTTAGATGGATTCCACACAAAAGTCTTTGTTTTTGCATATTTTTCCACAAGTTTGGATGATCGTGCCAATATTAAAGGTTTGGGACTTATTTGAATGTTTTGAAAAGGTTTGAAACACGACTGCAATTTTCCATAATAAAAATTGACTTTATGTGACCAATTGCAAAACTATTTTATAATCAAGGTGCCAATAGTTAAAGGTTTAACTATTATTTGCATATTTTGAAAAGGTTTGAAACACTGTTGCAATTTTCCCTAATAAAAACTCACTCTCAATGACTAATTACTAGGGATGACAATTTGAACTGTCAAAATCGAAAATCGCAATTAATCGGACCGAATGAGACAAAAAAAAAACCTAACCTATGGTACAATAGGTTGGATATGGTATATGATATTAGCGCCCCCGTTCGGGATGGGACGAACATGGTATTTACGCCGTCACCCCGCCCCAAACTGATTACCCTTAAAAAAATTAATTGGATAATTGGGGTTTCAATTATTTTTTCTATAAATCTAACCAATCCCAAAAATTATGGCCCATTACGTACCTGCTAAGTCCAATTAATCTAATCCAGTAACCGAACCCCCACTACACAAAATATTAAACATATATTAAAATTGTTTGTTAAATTTGAAATTTTGCATTTGGAAATTGGGATATTGTTTGCTAAATTGACATAGTATTGTGTTTTTGTTTTCATTGATTTTTTTTTATAAATCATTTTTTTTTTAAATTTCACGACTAGACCTATAAAAAATAATTTATTTTCATGGTTATTAATCGCCTAAACCGAGATGCGAACCGAGCTAAACCAAACCAACTTACGTGATTATGATGCGATTATGATATGGCCAAAAAGTTGGTGGTTCGATGATGTTTTTGGCCGAACCGACCTCGAACCGGATCGTTGCCAACCCTACCAATTACAAAACTATTTTATAATCAAGATACACATTTTTACCCTCTAATTTGTTTTATTAGTACTATGCAAGCATATGAAATTTCAGATAATTTCTTGAATAGTTGCTTCTTCTGACCAAAGTTATTTAATACAAGTGGTGCTTAACATCACTTGTGCTGCAGAGTTCCATACCATTATTCTTGCCACAATAATCAAGTTTTCGCTTGTTCAGTGTACTACAACGATGACTTGGATTGCGACTTATCTTCTATCTATAAATTTATACTCACTTTACCAACTCACAATATTGAGTCAAGAACATCTCCATCAGACGATAAAATCATAGATAATTTCACACAGTTGAGGATCAGGGAATCCAGATGAGCATGGATGGATCCAAGGGAGCATGAGCAGCTGCTAGATGGCTACTAATATAAGGGTAAAAAAATTGCGACAAAGCTAGCACGAGCGGCAGCAAAGGCTCGTAAGGTGCTGGGTCCACCCCCTCAATTCCCACATCAAGCATAATTAGTTGTCCTTGTGTAACAATTTGCTTTTACAATTAAGGCGTGTTTGATTGCAAGTATAAAATTTGCATAAAAAAAATAAATTATACGCAATTCAATTGCCTAAAATTTATTTGTTTGAAAATTATTAATTAAATGTGTTTGATTGATTTAGTTTTCAATCTAAAAAATATTTTACTTGTCCATTTTTTATTGATGGGCAAATAAGAAAGAGCTAATAGATGAGAAACAAAAAAAGAGTAAATCCTATTGAAAACAAAATCCTATTCCCCCCTTAAAAAAAATATTTTCCTTGATTTTGAAGAAAATATGGTTACATGATCAAAAGTAGAAAAATGTTTTTCTTGGAAAATAATGTTAATCAAACAGTATAAAGTAGGAATTTTGGTGGAAAAACATATTTTTTCTTGGAAAATATTAGCAATAGGATACATCTGATGGCAAGTATAAAATTTACATGGAAAGGAAATAAATTTTAGACAATTGAATTGTCCAGAACTTATTTGTATAGAAATTATTGATTAAATGTGTTTGATTGATTTAGTTTTCAATCTAAAAAATATTAAAATATTAAACTTGTCAATTTTTTATTGGTGGGTAGATGGGAGAGAATGAATAAATTAGAGAGAAAAAGAGATAGTGATTTACCTAGAAAATAAAAATTACTCCTTCCTAAAGAAAATATTTTCCTTGTTTTTGAGGGAAATGTGATTACATGACCAAAACATGGAAAATATCTTCCATAAAAAAATTGTCAATCAAACACCCCCTTACAACTTTTAATACTTGAATAATGATCATTTAGATATCAAATTTCAAATGATTATCCTACAGGAATAGTTCACACAGAGATTACTTGCATGTTTTCTAGTATAAACTAATTCTATATCGATGTAATAATCTTGAGGAAAGCAGAAACTTATTTAAATTTGGCAGTGTCTTAAGAGACTCGAACGTGTGAAGGGTTTGACCGTACAGCTCTGGCAGCCTTTAACCTCACCGAGCAGGTTCGCGTAAAGAAATCAAGCTTGTAGCTTAGGGCAGACACTGGAGCTAGGATTTGCTATGGAGCCTGAATGCAAATCATCTGATAGTTAGACTAATACCCGAGAACATTAACTAGTTAAAACCACAAGTTGAAAAAACATACAAATATCTGCATAACAAGGTTGTTTGGACGCCGGATCCTCTTCAAATGGCGGAGGAACTTGGCCATATACCATTTCGCAACTCATATCTTCAAAATCTGCTAATACACATTTGTGGCAATGCAATAATAAGTATGCATACAATGTAGAGCTTCGAATCGCAGTTGATATGCTGAGGTAACGTACTCGGGGTCATAGTTAATGGAAGGCCAAACTCATTGGTGAAAAAATCTTGTGTAGGTATTTTGCACATGTTAATGCACATTCCAACACAACCACTGTTCTCCAAGTACCTAAAGATCAGATGCCAGAGTTTGAATAGGTTTTAGAATTTAAGACATTGCTGTAAAACTAAACAAATTCAATTTTTTACTCTTAAATACCGTAAAAAGATTATCACCAAATTTACCTGCATTTCTTTATAAGAACTCCACTTTTTTGCTTTTCTCCATTAACCTCCACTTCCACAACCTAATGGATGCACAAATTTCAGAATTTATAGGATAGAAAATGCTCTATGAATTAAGATTCATAGTTTTAGTTATAAATATCATTATGGATTCTACGCTACATAGTTTTATCTTCGAGATGTGATATGAGCTTATTATCCTAGGTCGGAACAAGTTGATAGGATCTCCATTTTTACGCCCCAATGTCCCCTCCGTGTGGTGACATGGGGGGCGAAAAAAGGAAAGCCAGGAATGGTGTTTCTAGCAGACCCTTGGTGGGAGGCTGACATGATGGCCTATTAGCTTCGTGATAGAGCGCTCCCTTGATAATTGCATCGTTGTGCTTGGACTGTGAGCTCTTAGCTATATGGATAATTTAATGTGTTCATTGGCGCCTGACCCTAAGATGTGATCATCCAAGGCACATTAGCATGGTGCATTCTTCCTGTTTGAACCAGGGTTTGAAACCAAACCTCTCCTTAGCGATTCGGGTGAGATCCAATGTAGATCCAACTTTCGATTCATGTGCAGTCCGAGCACTAAACTTCTAATTTACAATTGGAAAAATAAAGTTTTATATAAGCTATGTGTCGACTTTACAAGCATAAAACCAGAGTAACAGACTGGAATTCAGGAAAAACCAATTCAAATTCGAGTCATTTCATTCTAATTCCCTTTTTCAAATGATTTAGACCTATCTAAATAAGAAACAAAGAATGGTTGTATTGTACCTCAGAAGGCCCGACTAACCAGTGGAAGAAAGGCACTGTCAGCGTGGCATTGAATTCCGCTGCCCATTTTGTAGGTGGAAACAATTTCCTAAACTGCGAAAGAGCAAAAAGACACAATCTTTGAGCTATGTTTCAATGATATTTGAGCTAAACCTGGTCACAAATTCGAAAAAGGATAAAGTGAATGAATTTATTACTTGAGCAGGGGCACCAGGAGGAAGCATAGACAACAGAACCTCTCTCACAACTTGCTGCTGCTGCAAACGAGATCGTCCCTGCATTACTCTTTTCGATACATCCACAAAACTCTCGTAATCATAATCGAACAAACTTTTGGCTCCCTTCCCACCTTTGGTGTTCGACTTTGACCTGCTATCACTGGCTGCAAATTTCTCCATCTTGCGAGCAAACAGTGTCATGAAAGCCTTCTCGAAAAGGCCATCGGTGTACTTTGTCTTCTGCCCAAACGGAGCAGGTACCCCTGATGGCTCTGCAATTCCACACCGAACAGTAATGCTTCTGTTATTACCACTCAGTTTTGGAGAGCAACAATGACTGAAATTGACTGGTTGGAAGCTAAGAACCACCATGATTCAATTTTCTTATCGAATTAATGTCAGAGATTATGGATAATTCAACTGTGGAGAAGGTAAAAGGTTGTTCATTTGCCTTGCCCATTTTCTTCGCATGATAGAGGGAGTGTTTAATAACTGTTAAAAAAAAGCATGAGGCGTGTGGTGGCTGAGTTTTTGGTGTTGATTTTTCCTTCCTTATAAAAGAATTATGACCATACATCTGTCACGTCTAACACAGAATTCTCCTTAATTTTTAATATCGATATGGATAATGGGTGGAATGGAATGACAAAGGCGATCCTATCATCCTTTTTCAATCACATATAATTAGCCAACAATCTTATGGAATTCGAAAAAATAAAAATAAAAATAAAAATTAAGCTGATTTTTGGTTCAACTCTAAAAGTTAATTAAAATTTAAATTAAAATCAATAATTAATTTTAACTATACATTTCCAGGACCCCACAGCTTTTAAATCACTTATTCAATCAACTTGATCAATACTTAATAAAAAATCCGATTTTTATCTAAATCATATAAGGGCTTTTATTATCAACTTGACGACCTTAATATATCCATGGGGTTCCTCCTTTCACCAAAAAGGAAAAATGTTGAATGGCTATTTATGGTATTAATACCAAGAATTCCATACATTCTTCATGTAAAGAAAAACGAGGTAAGCAATCACGAGCATTCTATGAGGCAAGCTTGCTTCTTGGACAGGGTTGGGGATGAGGTAAAACAGAGGCACCACATATTGGAGGGGCGACGCCCCTGTTGCCAACCCTGGCCATATGGCTCTTTTCTTCTGTGAAAGTGTGTGGTGAAGATCAAAATTAAATTTTTTAGTAAATTGCGATAGAAGTTTTTAAAATGTGTGGTTGAAAAGTTGTGAGACCCATAAAAAATATTGTTAATATTGATTATTTGACTTTGACATAGATTAAAATCAGATTTTAATCTATACCAAACAAGCTCTATATGTTTCATTCACAGTGTACGAGGAACAAACTTCCATTTCTTTCCAAGCTGAACTTTTTATTTTTATTTTTTTGTCAAATTCCTGTTTAAGAGAAACATTGCGCGAAGTTCTCTTGATAATGAGGTCTAATAGGTAGTTCAGAAGGTTAAAATTTACCGAGCAACTCCTGTTCAAATAATGGTCCACATCATTGTGGCAAAGAGTAAATCTGAATATTAAGTCACACAGTCAAGATTCATTACAAATTTCTCGACCATGAAGCAACATGGTACAAGTTATAAGTCGAGAATACATAAACGTTCATCTTGTTTCAGGTGATATCTGAAACATAGTGTCCTCTGGAAGCTGTCAAAATTAGTGAGCACAACTTCCCAAACAAACTAAACCTAAGTCTTATTTCAAGAGGCAGAGTATTCAACAAGTCTTCTATTCTTGCTTGCTTATAGAAGTTTGGCTAGAACTTTTATTCTGTCGATTGTGCATGCTTTGTTGCTTCAACTTCTTTCAACTTCTCTATAGCTGATAAACGTCCATCCAAAGATTCATAAAGACTATTCATCTAGACCAGAAAAAGGAAGCAAACACAGATTATTCAATATAGAGTATCCACCAAAAGAAAAATATCAGAACTGGCAATTACTTTAAAGCCCATTTCCCAAGATTTCATCATATTCTTTAGTTTATTCTACTTTGGCAAAAATGTAACTGAATTATCTTTCACCATTCATTGTGTTGCTTGATCAATCTAATAGATGTCCTCATTCAAAATATAACCTTCACACACAAATCAAATGATTTTATCACAAACTGCTATAAAACTAATGTTTTCAGTGCAAATGACATCTTCAAATTCAGCAGCACTCCAAGCTACAGTCTTGGTCATTAAACGGATGGTGACAATAACTTAGAGTTGTGCCCCTTTCATACATTACATTGAGAAATTGGAGATATTTAACCAATGGATTCACTGCGTCATAAGTATCCAATTTGCTCGCTTGCTCTCCCTCCCCCCCCAACCCCCACAAAAAAAAAATAAATAAATAAAAATAAAAATTTTGCAAAACTTAATTTTGAAGGTGGCGGAAGATTCATAATCTTATTGCAAACTTGACAAAGGAAATTTTCAGTATAAATATCTAGATTGACTAGAGTGTAAAGTTAAACAATGTCTTGACAAATAATAAATCAGGAAAAAACTAGTAGTTCTGAATTAATAGTAAGATGAATAAAACAATATAGCGTATGATTGTTAGATAACATTACATAGATGGAAAGCCTAATCATTCTGACCCCGTCAGGATCAAATGCCTAGCTTCACCAATGATCAGACCTATTGGGAAAAAATATCGAACCTTTTCCAAAGCGTGATGCAATTCGTGCGAGGTGTAGAAAATTTTGAAGTGCTATATACAGCATGTTTGGCTTAGCTTAAAAGTGAAAAAAGAAGCCAAATTTGGCTTCTTATTGGGATTTCTCAGGCAACAGTTTCTTCCACAAAAGAAACAATGCCATACATCCTCACAGTTTCTCAATCCACTTTTTACCAATGATCAGACCTATTGAAAAAAAATATATTGAACCTTTGCCAAAATGTGATGCAAGTCGTGCAAGTCGAAGCAAATTTGAAGTGTTATAGAGCATGTATGGCTTAGCTTAAAAGTAATCTTTTCGGTTTTCCTGGCAGTGGTTCTTCTACAAAAGAAGCAAAGCCAAAAATTCCCATAGTTTCTGAATGTAATTTAGATAGCTAAATAGAATGCTTAATAATTTTGAAGTTCACGCCCATTGCCCATCAACAACATAAAATGATCCCTCTTCACCACTCATCACATAATCTTAACTGTTCTTTAGCCAATGATGGAAAAGAATGTCACTGTCATGCCTCATTAAAATTAATCCAAACATCTATTCAACCACAACATCATAGGTCAAAAACACTGGAAAGGAGTTGGATAGCATAACATCTAATCACAATCAAATGGAACCTATTCAATGGAAAAATTACACTAAACTCCCTCAAGTGCTACAATGCCTATCTAGCTCGAAAGGGATTTCAGTTAGAACCTATATACAACACTTCAATGTTCCTCGAAGAAAAAAAAATTTGAAAAAAGAAGGGCAATAAGGAGCCACGATGTTTAATTAACATTTCATCAGTTCAATCTCACCATCATCATTTCTAATAAAGCAAAATCCATCAACTTCATCATTATACGCCATATAAACCCCCAAATTATTAGAAACCTCTAGGCTTAACAGAAATTAGAATTCGACTTAAGCTTACATTCTGTTTTTGAAATTTTATTACCCAAAACACATAGAATATATCTCAGCATGAAAAAAAAAATAATTAAAACATAAAAGCCATATGGTACCTGTTGAGACATAGAGTGATGTGCAATCTTATAATCCTTGTGAAGAAAATAAATACCCGCAGCAGATGCCAGAGCAGCTCCGGTGAAGAAAGATGCGAGTCTCACTCTCAGCACATAACCCATTCTTCTGCTCCTTCGCCTTCTTCAATCTATGGGATCTGGATTTTCTTCACGTCGATTTTTAATCAAGGAAAAATCGAGAAAAATAACTGAAAGAAATAGAATTTCGACATGCGAGCAGGGGAGAGTGGCCGACTCGTCGACTTGGCCCAGGTTTCTGTTTATACCAAAGTGGGCCTGAAGCAGCCCAAGTGAGTACAATTGGACAGGTTCAAAGAACAAAGTCCATTGATACAAATAACACTGAATTGAGGCAGTTTATAACTAGCACTGTGTACTCTAGATTTTTAAATTTAATAGATTAATATCCCTTTTGGAAATTTAACGCCATTTATCTAGATTATTTCCATTGTTCGACTAGCATATTCAAAATTTTAAATTAAGAAAAATACTCAACAACGAGTCATTCACGCGTCCTTACTCCTTAGTAATGGCAGCGTGAATGGTGGTCCCCACGAGATGAAGCCACCCATCATCTCTATAATCGCCACTCTTCGACCTAGTTTGAGGGGGATCAACTAGTTATGGCTACATTTGCCCTCAAAAGTAGTGTGGTGGTTATGAAGATTATCTAAGATTCTCTCCTTATGGCTACGTTCTTTATAAATAGGCCACTTTTTGGTCCATTAGGCGGATTTTACGATGAGGATCCATGTTCACCACTTGAATTTCTCGCATTTGTCGTGAATTCTCATTTATTCTATTCTCATAGACACTCATTGTTTCGGATTTGTTATGGGTTTTGAGGCTTTTGTTTATGTTTTCACTCATTATTCATATAATATTTGGTTTTCATAGTCAGTACCAATTTGTTTATCTAACATATTTGCATAAGCTTACTGTGAATAAATCCCTTGCCACCTATATGTCAACTTGTGTTACGTAAATTAACTGCGCATTTATTAACACTTAGAATATGAAGTCAACTATCGAAAAATACTGGGGAGAGACAACTAAGTTTTGGCTAGGATTTTGAATTATTTACCTTTTCTTTTCACTATGCAAGCACGTCTATAGTTAAGTTCCTAGGTTAAATTATGCCTAGGATGCTGCAAACCAAATTTAACAGTGTCAAAATGTCACACATTCATGAGTTTTGCTATTTGTACATTGGGTTTAACACCCTCGATGTACAGCCCCCTTGTAGTCATGGCAACGGGACGGTTTCGGGACAGGGCGCGAGGCAAGGCGGGGACAGGGCAACTTTTTGCCCCGTTTAATATTATTTATTTATTTATTTATTTTTTTACCTTTTGAAAGTTTCGAATTATGTTATTATTAGAAAATAAAATACAAATTCAAAATGAGTTTTTATCGGATGAATTGTCTAGAAATAAAATTATTAAAATTTTTTTTTTCTTCACGTGGCAGGGCATCCTAGCCGCATCCCATCCCGCCAACCCGTTCAGGGCGGGGCAAGGCGGGGTAAATTGTCATCCCTACCCCCTTGGGGCCTTGCGGCCAATAAAAGAATTGCATCCCCCTACTATGAGGGAGGCCGAACACCGGGTTCTCAAACTCGAATTTGGTATGCACATAACAAAACCCCACATTTATTGATTGAGAAATGTTGTTTTTACAGTATTGTTTCATTTCCAAACGTAATTACCTTAATGATGATTATTTCTCTAGATCCGCTTTCACCTTAAAAAATTTTGATAATATTATTTCCTTATGAAATATATATATTGACCCATGCTCTGTCTGTGCAACCCATCACAACATACGAAACATTCAAGGCAAAGTACCTCGATTGTAGGCCCTCGTTCGTCCCACCTACTAGAGTTCTTCATCTTCATGTGAACTCGTGCGAGGTTCACTAGTGGGCAAGGCTAGATCAGGGTGACCTTTGAGCAAAGATCATGCAAGTTACCAGGTGATGCTGCTATGAGCATGAAGTTTGAGAACAAAATTGACTTGCCACCTATAGTGAAGCACGCGGGAAGCACGTGACGTGAGGCTTCCACGTGGAAGACTGAAATTAACCCAGCTTTATTATTTTTTTATTTTCCCGTATTAGCCTAACTTAATTTTTTTTTTTTAGTCCAATTATAAATCCGTCCTTGAGTTTACATGGCCTTTACTTCCTATGTAGCACATGTACACGTGCGAGTTAAAGGTGCAATAGCATTACACTCCAAAATTTTTCCAATGCAATTATTATTTCAGCAATAACTGTAATCAATAATTATTTTGGCTACTTTGCATCAATTGGTTTATTTATTTATTATTACTATTATTATTTTCATATTCTCGAACCTTCTCGAGATTCTATCAAATCAAATAGAGAATCTTGATATGGGTTAATGAAGGAGCATATTTTCTTAGAATTTATGAGAAAAAATAGTCCAGAATCCAATAGCGTTGGAAGGTTAACATTTGTCACCTTTTCGTTAGTCGGACTACCAAAAATTGAAAATTATATTAAGTCCATTGTGTGGCAGGGATTAAAATTTAGATTTTAATTTAAATTAAAACTTACAATTAATTTTATTCATATTTTTATGAGACTCGCAATTTTTCAGTTATACATTTTTATAAATTTTTATCAAAATTTACTCAAAATTTGATTTTAATCCCTATAATGTGTTACGAATTGTCAAATTTCGCGAGAACAAAAGTAAATAATGGGGCATACAAATTCATAAATCACAATAAAAGTCAATCAAGATACCAATTGAAAGTGAAACTACATTTAATGACCAACTATGATATTGACACAACTATAGAATGGATCTCTCATTTCAATTTCATTAATTCATATGATGTCTCTCCAATTAAATTTTGACATCTTATTACAATTTTGAAATATTAAGCATATAACACAATAAAAATATTTTTTATTTTTTTACGTGATAAACTATGTCTATTAAAATTTTGACACCTTAAAATTATATTGAAATGTTAAAATTTTAATAGTGGAAACTACCAAGTCGGGACAGCACGTGCCAAGCCGACTCTTATCCGTAGTTTGGACGGTTTGATTATCAATTTATTGCAGTGTTGTTTCCATGGTGGTTGCCCAGTAGCAGTTATGCATGCCAAGAAAAATAAAAATAAAATGAAAGAAAAAGAATATATATTTACACACACATACACACATACATACATATCTATGTATATATATTTGGATGACCTCTGCAGATTTCACCCTATCCGCACCCGGAACCATTTCCCTACCGATCCTGCCACCACGCTGCAGAACGGGATATCATGGGGAACCTTTTATTTCTAGCGTAACAGCTATAGAACGTAACAAAATATTATGGCTACCTAACATGGGGCCGGAGGTACCGTAAACTCGGACAAAATATGACACCCAAATGGCCTGACACGCACAATCCTATCCTATCCGAATTTGCCCCTTGCACTTCACACACACAGTCTCCTGTTTGGTACCGTATAAAAATTTAATTAAAATCCCTAGTTAACAATTAATTTTAAAGGAAGTGCTATATGTACATAATTGTCTACATAATGGTATCCATAATTACACGTCGCAAAATTTTCCTAATTTTAATCACACATTTGATCAACTTTTATCAAAATTTGCTAAAATTTTTTTATTCTTATCTCATCCAAACAGGGTATAAGCAATTAATTGAGACAAGTCAATAATCAGTTGACTATTTCCTCATAGTTCGACATATACAAGAAACATAATGTATCCAGTAATCACAGCCTCCCTAACTACTAACTAATTCTCCATATTATACTGTTTTTCCCCCTAAAAGATTTTTATTTTTCTATTTGACAAAGAGAACACAATTTAAATTACAAAAACTATCGTCATTAGTGTCTTCTCATCCATTTCATTAGTTGTTTTTGGTATATATAGCCCCATTTGATTCTCATTCTTTGGCCACAAAAATGAAAAATATGATCGTTATCCATTACATCAAGCACCATATTTGACTTTCTATCTCTTGTGTGAGTTCTGTAACGGCTATATTTTTTATTTTCATTCATACAAAAATGAGTATCAAACGGGGATAATATACTATTGAAAACCAATAATTAGCACATATCATATGATATTTGAGGGGCCAATAGACCCACGGATTAGCTCATCTTCACAGTCGACAAATTTCAATTTTCATATAATAGAAAAAGGCAATTTATTATTATTATTATTATTATTATTATTATTATTATTATTATTATTATTATTATTATTATTATTATTATTATTATTATTATTTTGTAGAACTTTGGGAAATTCACAAGCACAAGAGAGAATAAGATTGGTTGCACAAGTTATAGAAGTTGCATTGGGAAATGCAAGTAAAACAAGTCAAATGCCATTTTGCAATTTCAAGAAGATTTTGTTGTGTTGACTTTGGGCTGGAATTTATGGTTGTGCAGAAACAGTTTTGATGCTATCCTTATTGTACAAATTTATGGTTCATTGAGAAATATTTAACACACTTGCATCAAGCTTAATTTTTTAAGTAATGGGATCCAATGCCACCTACACTAATGCTACGTAGCATTATTCGACATCAAATCATATAATTGTATAGCTGATGGATATTCATAGGATAGCACACACTTTTATCGCCATTTAATAATTTATCAGCAATGATGAGATTAGCTGCTTCTGTGGGATGGTATGCGTCCCAAAACACGTACTTTGATCGATCATCACAAAGTGCTGATGAATTCGTATTAGCGTTTTCCCCCTTGAAACAAAGAAATGGTGGAAAATATCCTCCACAACACGGACCATCATTGTTCACAAATCCTACAAAAACATTTACAATTAATTGGTTAATTAGATTTCATGAAAACGACCAAGAGATTAAACCGAGTAAATAAAGTCTCTTGTTTTACCATATTTCGGAAAATTGAGGATGATTTCTCTGAAAACATCATAGGAATTGGCATACACAAACATCGCATTACGTCCCACATTGTTGTTCATCTGATCGAGCTCCTCCATCAGTTTCTTATTGTACTCTCGTACTAGAGAATTTACCTTAGCCGAGCATTTTCCACCTAGAATATTAAGGCTGATGGCACGAATAAAGGGTATGCATCCGAGAGGTCCAATGTTAACAACAACAAATTTCCGTGCCCCTAACCTATGCAATTCCTTTTCTTACACGAAAAATTCGAAAATGAGAACCAGTGATGCAAGTAAAATAGCCTAAATGAAAGATTCTTTATAGTTTGGTACCTTAAGCTGCATAGTCAAATTGGAAATCATGAAATCTTGGAACTCTGTTGGAGAAACCTTGTCACTGAATGGTGGAATAGAAGGTTGGAAGTAATTCAAAACATCATTCGATCCAATTGTTAAGGAAAAGATCGCGTTTTTTAAGATAATATTAGTCGTGTTTTCTCCAACCATGTTCACCATATATGATCTGGTTTGCTCGAAATTGTTAATTTGCTGCCTCAGTGGCACTCTTCCTATCTGACCAGAAATCATTTACTTATCAAATGGTTTTTCATAATTATTATTAACCAAAAAAAGTAACAAGAATAACGCGTACAAAGAGGGATCCTGTCTGGTCCAAGATCCCTGATGCTCCTGAAGCATAATTGATTCCAGTACGAAAGGCGGTGGCAGCTGCAATATTAGGGGCTAAGTACGGTGGAGGAAATGACTTGCCTCCTAGAGCTTCACCTGAACAGATAAAAAATTTTAACCGTGAAGAAAAATGAGACTTAGTTTTTATTTGGTGGGACAAAGTGGAAAATTAGTTACCGACTATATCTGCTATAGTACGACCATTAGTGAATCTTCCGGTAGGTTGGCCACCGGAGGGACTAAAGTCGATGCCATAAGGAGGAGAGTCTGCCTTTGACAAGGTAAATAAGTAATTATTGTTACCAGCATCGACCAAAGAGTCTCCAAACACGAATGCTGTGTAACAAACGCCGAACCAAACATTATTTACTGATAAAGTAATTATCAAAACGAGTGCAGGAACGACTCGAATCTCCATTGTTATTGGTTAAAAAAGTTATCTCACATTCATGAATATATATGCTGTAAGTTTCAGTGCAAGATACTTGTGTGACCTGCTACATGAAGGTACAGTTTGAACAAGTCATATGAATTGGTCCATGTATCATATCATCAGCAGATACTGAACATAATCTGATAATTTTGTAAACATAACATTTGCAGAAGCTAGAATATAAATTTTCTAAAACTTGTCTAGTCTGGATAACTCAAAATGACATAACGCGACTAGTTATTTTTCATATGGAGTCGTATTTTCTGGTTCGAGTGTAAGAGGGCTGTCGAGTTTTAAACTTTCAAATTAAAAGTCCTTCAAATTTAGTTAATCGATAGCTACCTGATGACAGTTCGACCTGAGATTGATATTTCCGGGCCAAGGAGTTGAGTGAAGGTACGTACATATGTACGAGCTTTTCCTTGACTTTTAAACTTGCCAGAATATTAATTTAATACCTACTATCAAGGCTTTTTAATAAGTTGGGACACTTGAGACTACGTAATTAAATTATGCAAAACATATGATAATTTCTATGATAATTGCAAAATGTACAGCAGAAAAACCTCTAGCTAGCTATCATAATTAAGAAAGCAGCAAGATATAATTGACTAACAAAGACGAATAATGTCAAGCTTGGATCACAAAAACGTGTTTTTAAATATACATATATATAGGCCGGTCCAACATAGGGGCTGGTCCAACCTGAACCCCATGAGGGCTAGTCGAGGCAGACCGCTATTAGGGTTGGTCGAACTTGACCAGCCTCTCATAGCCCTCCATTTTCGAAGGTAATTCACACGACCTTCAAGCAAATTCATGTTTTAGTCATTATCAATGTAGAAATTTAAGGCTTATATATTTGTGCGGCGCATATACAAGTTAGTGTTTAAATTCACAGGGCCGAACTTGGGGTAAGGCTAACAAGGCAATAGCCTAGGGCCTCAAATCATATGGGGGCTTCAAAAATGAAAAACAATTCACTTGAGAAGTCCAATTAAATTTAAAAGATAGATATAAAAATTAATTTAACTGCAGTGTTTTTTGTTGATTCCAACTTAGTACAATCTTATTCAAATTAATATTTCTCAAGTTTAATAAACATGATTAATTTTAAGCTATCAAATGAGCTCAATGTTGTTAGGGTAATCTGATTTAATTTAAAAACTAATATTACATACCAAGTAGTTATTTTAATAAGTTATAACTTGAACTTGCTTTTTAATGAGTCATTTATCACGAGTTTCAAAATGAGTCCAATGTTGATAGGATTATTTTGATACTCCAATAAATACACATTTGATACAAATAAATTATTGACCTCAAAACTTATTTTCACTTTAATCCCTCAAAATCTCAATTTTATTAAAAGATTTTTGAATCAAAATCATAAGAATCTAATTACATTTTTAATCACTAAATAATCACAAATCATTACATTATCATCTATTTGCAATCTAGTCACTAAATTTTGTACTTTTTATTAGGGGTGGGCGCGGGTCGGTTCGGTTCGGTTCTCTTTAGAACCGAACCGAACCAAACTTTTCGGGTCTCTAGTAAATGGAACCGTCGGGTCCAAATATAATTATGGAACCGTTCGGGTTCGGTTCCATTCGGTTCGGTTCGGATCGGTTCGGTTCCGTTCGGTTCTGTACTATAATTAAAATTTTTAACATTTATAACAACGTTATATAAATACGACTAATGATACATTCAATAGTTTTGGAATGTCAGAGATTAGTAAACTATTTTGTTCAAATGATCGCTACGATCAAAGTTTCAGTCGGGGAAAGTCACGGCTTCGATCGGAAGTCAGAGTGTCGGCCGACGATTGTATAGATTTTGGAATATTAGATAGGCTGCGAGAGTGAGTGCGAGAGTCGAGACAACGTTATGCACTTTATTGTAGGTGTTTAGGGTTATTTAGTGGATTTGATCTTGTTTGGCTAAGAAATGAAACAATAAAATGGGTAATTGGGCCAAAAATTAAAAAATTAGAAATGAAACAAATTATTGAGCCAAAAATTTGGATTTAGAAATCATTAATTTGTTAATTTGTTTAGAAAAAATTAAAATTAAAATAATTTGATTTACTCAATATAAAAAAAATAGAAAGATTCGGTTCTTATTCGGAAAAACACGCAATACACAAACGAAAGTCTATGTATAATGAAGAAGAAACAATTAACTATTCATTGCACTGGCTCGAGAAAAATGCCAACAAGTAATTACGATTGTCACTCAGCTAAATGGCTCATTTCAAAGCATTTTAATGTCCGGCAAAAGTCACCATTTGATGAATCTAACGTTTCTTTCCTTAAACCGAGAGACAAAATAAAGGAAATAAAATTACTCAAATTACTGTTTTTGTTTGAAGAAAAGCGAGTAAGTAAATACAAAATAATTCAGTAACTTATTTATTAAAAATAAAATTTTTTTTGTACCTACTACCAGTACATAACGAAAAGAAGAAAAATCCCATAGACACATGTCGTTTAGACTTGTATAATATCAGTGAATAAATGTGAGATTGAAGTAATAAAACTAACTAAGATAAAAATGAAGAACAAAATATCCACCATAGATTGAAAAACTTTAAGTCCGAAAGAAGAAAGGAATGAAAAAATATTAAACCAAACACGTAAACTTAAACCCCTCATGTCAAACTCCAATTGAGTGTGGTGAGCTTCAGCCAATTTGTTAATACCGAGCATGACCTTGAAGATTGGAGTCCCACATCAGATTGTAAGCTTATAGTAGGAGGCTGTGCTCTTTCTCTAAATCTTCCACACCATACAAGCCCAATGTCAACATTATTCATAATAAGGACATTCAGCCTTCCACGACGTCAAAGGAGTTTACTGTGCTTTCTGTTGAAAAATAATAGCAAATAATAGTGTTACCGTAATTTATATTTGGGCAGAGTAAAGATGTTTAGATGGTTTTGAACGGTCGAGGCGAGTTCGACTCTTTTTCCTAAAACGATAATGGCCCGCATTGGTACTAACGGTATTGCAGCACTCGTTTCCCAAGATACAACGACCTCGTCTTGTAATAGTAGTACTCCAAATTACAAGACCCGACGAACCCGTAAAGTTTAGATTTCTCCACACACACTAGATGACTGAAATGCACGAAAAGTAATTTTCGAGGATTGAATTATAAAAACAGAAATTATGCAAGGACAAAGGGATAATTTCGGGAGAGTAGAAAATCAATTCTGATTTTTGGAATGAATAAAAATTGGGGTATGGGGGCCTATTTATAGATGTTGAAAGGTTGTGTCCCAACAGACACAACTGTCGAAAAGTTGTGTCCAAAAGACACAAACTGTTTGGACAGTCAACCGCTTATTTGACAGTCAACCGGTTAAATAGGAAAAAAATTAATAACATAAAATATATTATTTATTATTATAATAATAAAATAATATTATTAAATGTTATTTTATCAAAAAATATATATCAGCTTGGCCCAAGCCCAAGCCCAAGCCCACAACCGCGACCGTGCCAGTCGGTCGGACGGACGGCAACGACGGCGCGCACGTGTGAATTTTGGCTTAACCTACTAGCATGTAGGTTCTCTCCCCCTCAAAGACTATTGGTACCTCCTTGGGGCCCAAACCCAAGTCCCAAACTTGAACTATATAAGGTGGTTTATATTCTTCTAGTTTTTCTATGTGGGATTGGTATTTTCCAATTTCCCACCTATTTTATTTCGATATCAAGTGGGCATCTTTTGACCTTAATTTCTCATTCACCCTAAATTGGTTTTGAGAAAATAAATATACCATATTAATCTACTCATGGAGTAGAACACATTCGGCCAAAGAAATCTTATTTTCGATTAACGGGACTCACAAAATTAATTGGTCAAAAGTTGGTCAAACCAACTAATTAAAACCAGTTTTTCCAACACAAAACATGTTTCCCCATGGTTTCTCTATCACCATGAGCCCGTTGTCCTAAATGTAAAATGCAAACCATATAACATATGAACGGGTCTAAGTTATTGAGGAAAAAATTGCTTCTATTTGTTTCACGAGGAGACGCAACCACCAACAACCATTTTTCCTTGTCCAGCAAAGGATTTGAATGTAACAATTATTTCATTTATCCGATGTTACGTGTCTGAAAACCCTCTCTCTCTCTTTCTCCCTTCTCTTTTCTCTCCACAGAATTTCAAGAAGCACTGCTACACGGTTTCCATAAATAACAAGCCACTTCACTGCTATCTTTCATTGTTTCCATCGTCCCACTTGCGAACAAAAACCAGAGCCACACCCTATCTTAAATTTCCATTTTTCACCTAAGAGAACGAACAAGAAGCTCCTTTATAAATCTTGCAACTCCATTTTTCGCGAAAAGTTTGTTAACGGAACAACCCAAATCAGTTCTCAAAATGACAGGCAGATTTGCGAACGAAATATTGAGCTTCATTGTTTTCACTCTATTAGACATCCTCGATTTCTTGTTATGTTACGTTTACAAAATACTAGATTACTTAATCGAAGCAGAATGGGAACCGTGTTATTGTTCTTCTGCGAAAGAAGCCGTTACCAGCAGTGGCAAGATCTTAGTCTCCGAACATGGAGAATCAAAAATTTTGCACCTCAGTTCCACCAAGTTAGAGCTCGAAGAAATCTCTGACACGCTCTATAATCGCCCTTCATTGGTGTCCGAGGTTTCAAAATCGACTGTGGAAGGCAATAGTATGATACAGTCACGCGAAAAAATCAACAAGAGAGGAGGAACTATTCGATCCACATTCACCATTAACTCCACCATTGTCGAAATGTTACAAGGGAGGATACAGAAACTTCCGATTCCCAGATGGTCGGATTGCGATTGCAAAAACTGCACTGGCTGGACTTCGTGCAAAGAATCACTATTCATCAAGGCTGACGGAGCTAAAGGTAATAAAAAAAGTTAAAAACCCAACAAAAAACAGTTTACTGATCTAGTAACTAGGCAGTGCAGTTATCTGAACTGATCATTTCATCTTGTTGAAAGCAGAAAATGTGCAAGAAGATGTTTTGTTCATTCATGGATTCATCTCGTCGTCTGCATTTTGGACCGAGACATTGTATCCCAACTTCTCAAAGACGACGAAATCTAAGTACAGGTTACTCGCAGTGGATCTGCTCGGTTTTGGGAAGAGTCCGAAGCCAAACGATTCACTTTATACTCTAAGAGAACATTTAGAAATGATTGAAAAGTCTGTTCTTGAGGCACACGAAGTGAAATCTTTTCACATAGTGGCACATTCAATGGGTTGCATTTTGGCTCTTGCACTTGCTGTCAATCATCCTGCATCTGTCAAGTCCCTAACTCTACTTGCACCGGTAAGTTAATGTTCCTAATCAACCCATCATTTTTATTTTTCGTGTACATATGAATTAATTTTCAGGGCTCCTAAAAATGGCAGCCATATTTTCCGGCACCAAAGGGCGAACCACCAGCACAATACATGATGAGAAGGGTGGCACCACGTCGAGTTTGGCCACTGATTACGTTTGGAGCATCGATAGGTTGCTGGTACGAGCACATCGGTCGGACTATCTCCCTAGTGCTATGCAAGAACCACCGTCTCTGGGAATTTCTCACCAAACTTTGCACCAGAAACAGGTGCTTACAAGCCTCCTAGCTACGAAGTTCCACACATCAGATATAGGAGCGTCAATGTAGGAAAATGCACTTAACTAATCTAGCCCTCGATCTAGTTTAAATAAAAATCAGATTTTTAATAGATTTTGATAATAATCGATGAAATATATGATAGAAAAATTATGGGTCCCACAAAATGTACTTTCAATTAGCTTTTTTAGCGGAACCATAGACAATCCAACAACTTTCTAGGGGTGTCCACATTTATGTGAAGTTCATTACCAAAACTACCCTCTACTTGGGTTTTTCAATGAATTTTATGAGGAATAATGCGATTCATGGTGAAGATTATCTATAGTCATCTAGCGTGACATACATGTGATACTTTGTTATCCGATGCATGAGTCAATGAAAAACTACCATATTAATGCATCATAACTGCCACATGTATGTTATGTAGAACGATTACCAGTAATCTTCGTTATGAATAACATTATTCTTTATGTAGACACTTCGTTATACATAAGTCATTATCACCAAATTTTCATTTTTCGACTGACCTAATTTGAAAAAAAAAAATGTGTACACAGGATAAGAACATACTTGATGGAGGGGTTCTTCTGTCACACACACATCGCATCATGGCATACGCTACACAACATAATTTGCGGCACTGCCGGACTAATGGAAAGATATTTGCACGAGGTAAAGAATGTGGTAAAGTGCGACGTGAATATATTCCACGGTAAAGATGATGAACTCATTCCAGTTGAGTGCAGTTACAGTGTTAAATCGAGAATTCCTCGAGCTAAAGTGAAGGTTGTCGAAAACAAAGATCACATTACAATAGTTGTAGGGAGGCAGGAGGACTTTGCCAGGGAACTCGAGCAGATATGGAGAAATGCAAGCACAATTAAGTGATAGTATATATTTGATCAGGGTTTGATTTGGTGTTTTACTAGTTTTCAATTCCTTACTGTTTCATATATAAACTGTCAATTCTCAATTAATCATCCTAGTTTGGCAAGGAATGAGATAATTTTAGTATATAATACTGATTTTGACTCAGATATTCTCATTTACACAAATATATAATGCTATTTATCACGACCAGTGCTTATAATTTTCAGTCTAGGGGGTCGAATTATCGTTTGTAGTTGGAATGATTTATTGGACAATGATGCATTGGATCCAATAAATAGAAACAGAGTGGGGGTGGGGTCACAGGGGTCAGTGTTCCAATTAGTTCGACTGGTTCTTCCTTGCTCTTAATAAATAATTTGTTGTGAAGTGAGGTAAAGAAATTAATTAATATTTATGACAATAAATTGCATGGCAGGAAACTGATGCACAGAAGAGGTCTAAACAATAAATGTTTCAATAAATCATTAATCTGCTTCTCACCAACTGGCTGTTCTTCTACATAATTTACAGAACTCCTTTTTTATTGGTGATGGCCTCCACAACATTTTAAAATTATTGAAAACGTGACATTTTTCTTTTTTAATATCTAACATAATGTATAAGATATGTATATTTTGCCCTCTCACAATTTTTTCGCCCCATCAACACGAAGATCCTGACTTCACTACTACCTTTAAGTACTATGCATATGCTAACCCGGGAAGGAATTTGCGTCAATTTACTTTGACAATGTGATTATCGTCGAATTTTTGGATTTTACTTTTTATTCGCAAACATGTAAGTTTCTAAAAGAGAGGTCTCTTCATCAATACTCAAAAACAGGGGGGGTGTCAGCTAACATGAAGAAATAAGAGGACTAATGCTATTCATCAGTAGTGGTGATGAACTTACGTATATGCAATAATGCCACTTACACTATTGTTCATAACATTATTCAAATGGGAGACAGCCTTTGACAATTAGCCAGATGGGGAAAGAAAACCTAACAATTGCAAGCTGTACCATAAATATGGATTCTAAACATCATTCTACAATTTCTTCATACAATGAACTGTTTTGAATATTTCTACCACTGGAGGTTGGATTAAAATTTTCTTCGGAAAACTCAATACAGATATATCTGTTTATAATTATTTAGTATAGTCAATGTTCCAACCCAGTATATCTGAACTCCAACTATACCTCAAGTTGATGAAGGCCCAAGCTTTGAGCAGTACCAGAACGAAAATCATCCAGATTTGCGCTATACGCTACAATTGAAGACCTAGCGTACTCCAAATGTTCCAAGAAATCCATAATTATTGGATCGGTCCAAGGAGCTCCAAGTGGAGCTTCCCCACCTGCCACCCACCCCAAATGGCCACCTTTTGGAGTAACTATCAACAAGCAGTTAGGATTTTCCTGAGGCATATAAAGAATTGGGAAAAAATGAGTATAACTGTCCAATTATTCACAAGACAAAAAAAAAAAAAAAAAAAAAAAAAAAAAAAAAAAAAAAAAAAAAATTTTAAAAAAAAAAAAAAAAAAAAATCC